CGGCCTGCCTGCCTGCCTTGCTGCAGGGGCAGCGGCTGCGTCCCGGCCAGGTGCAGAGCTTGTCTGCTCAGAGGAACGCAACGCAAGCAGACCCCCGCGCCTCTTCGAGGCAGCAGAAGGCCCGAAGGAAAAGGGTTAGCAGTGGGGTCTGCAGTGGAGATCCCACATCCCTATGCAGAGACATCAGAAAAGGCGCCCGGGCACCTGCCTGGCAGCACTGAGGGATTTCTCCGAAGACGGCTCACCTTTGCTCGCTTTCACTGCTGCCGGTCACGAAGGAGATGAACTCTGTACTGCTGGTGGACGTGTGGTCCTGCCGTGCCACAGGTCCCTGAGCGCTGATGCTCCTGTCCCTTCTCTCTCCTGCCTAGGAAGAGCTGTCCTCCCCTTCGCAGCTTTCCAGCCTGCGCCTGTGGGGGATTGATGTGTGAATCAAAGCAGAATGGATCGCTATCGCTATTTCATCTTTGACCAGAGGAACATGGTCGTGCTGGGGCTGTTCCAGATAGCCTTCAGCACCGTGTGCGTCGTCAGCGGCTTCATGGACGGCGTCTTCAGAACGGAGTCTCAGCTGGGCAAAACCAGAGCTCCCATTTGGGCTGGGATGGTAAAGTTGCACTATATTTTCTATGCTTTGTTTTGTGGTTTGGTTTTTTTGTTTTTTTCCCCATGGGTACCTGCTAGTACTCAGCTTGGGGGTGGGAGGGAGGCCAGGACTTCTTGCCAGCTCTTCCCTGGTTTCCTGCTTTGAACCCAGATAATAAAAGTTTCCTTATCGTGGTGTAGGCAGGAGAGTGCAAGCAGACTTCCCTCTGAAGGAGCTAAATAAAAATACGTTTCCACTGGATAATCTAGAAAATGGGGCATAGCGGCAATTGATGGGGATTTTTTGCAGAAGCGTAGTGACCACAGAGAGGCCACCGAAGATTAGGAGGGGAACCCCCATCTACCCTAAGGCAGATGAACATCTGGGTGATGATCTGTGTCCGGCAGCACGGTGCCGCTAATTCTCTGTCCTGCAACGAGGAGTGGGCAGCGGGCATCCTCGCTCCCTGGCCTTCAGTACCCTGATGTTACTGTTCGTACCCCGGTGAGCCGTGCCGCAAGGCAGCTGGAGTGAAGCGCTCTCTTCCATCCAGAGGCTGCCCGTCTCCTTTCAGTAGTATCTTTCTTCCATCTACAAGACGCATAAGGACTTGGGAAAGCAGTGTGCATTTTAAGCACTTTAATCGGACTCATTGAAGCAGTTTTATTATTTGGCCAGAGCCGTAAAGCCAGTCGGAGGATTGCTGCCTGCTGCCGTGGGGGTAGCGAGTGGGCAAGATGCATTTCACACCGTGTCCTGCCTGCAGGAGATGCTGCAGGGGAAAACAGAAGAAATCAGCTATTCTCTTTCCATTTCTGACCCAACAGTTACTCTGATCTAAACCTTGAAAATGAGGGCTTTTCATCTGCTCTGTAGCAGTTTATCTGCCGAATCCAATACTTGTCTCCCAGTTACCAACTCCTTTTGTGCTCTGCAGGTGATGGGAGTCCCAGGCGTCCTGGCGGCAAAATATTGTCGGGGCAATGAAAAACAGTTTTGGTAGGGAATGAGCTGGCTGGTCCTTCTGCAGGATTGAGAGCTTATTTCCTCAAGTTATCTTCATAAAAGCTGCTCCATTCCTAGGCAAAAGGAGGATGCAGTGTTGCAGCAGACGAGCTCTGGCTCTAATAACAAGCAAAAATCTGTAAGAATGCTTGCTTTTGACCGCGTTTCTTTTGGTGTTCCTTCCTGTTATTAAAAATTGTGTACACCAAAATAAGAAACAAGCTAATGGACTTGCATTTCCTGGGCAGGTCTCTCCAGCCTTCTTCGAGTAAACTCGAAGGGGGGATACTGTTTATAAGTAAGAGATCTCTAAGAACAGAGTCTTTGGGTCCAGCTAGCACCTGTGGCTAAGATTTGGGACGCAGTTTTAGCTCAGAAGTTCGAAACCTTTACTGGTCTGTGTTTGGCTTCCCAGTGACTGTTGCTACCGGGTACTTTTTAGCGTTACGGGAGGTCAAAGGCTAGTACCTACAATGCTTGCTAGTACATTTTGTCTATATTAATTGCGTGGATTTGACAGAGGATAGTTTTAATTCCTGCTCCCCTTCTTTTTCTCCTTTAATTTCTCTGTCTAGGTGAATGTGCTGATAGTTGCCTCCATAATCTCTTATGTTGCTATCCTCATCGTAATCGTTTATAGCTCCCTCACACTGAACTATGGTGAAGAAGAGGACCTGAGTTCTGCCCCAGTCCATGTTATCCATACCGTAAGTATTGATATTATGCTTATTACTAGGGAACATGACTGTCTTAATCTGCAAACATTACTAGGCATGACTGGTAAACAAAACCAGACTTCCAGGGTGCCAAAATTAAGAGTTTGAAGTGGCGCAGGCAGCAGGGCACTTGTTTACAAAAATTTGTGTAAGTCTACAGTTAGGTGCTGAAAACCACAAAACCCATGGAGGGCTAGATAGACATTTTATAGCTAGCTCGTGCCATTCGCTGCTGCTGCAGCAGCATGGCTAGTTATCGGTGGCTATGTGAACTAACGCCCGGCTCACCTGGATGCCTGTTTGAGAAGCAGCTGCTTGAGAGCAACAGCTCGTCCCCGGAGGCGTGCACGCTGCTTATGCACCTAAACACAACACAGTTGGGTTTGCTGCTGCTGCTGAGTGCAAAAGGGTTTGGGTTGCGCCAGGGAAAAATCATGGTGCTGCTCAGGAGAAGGGGTAGGTGCTGGCTGTATCCCTGGCCTGGTCTGAGACAGCAATTGCTAGGCTCGAATCCTTTCCAGCATGCACCTCCGGTAATAAAGTTACAGCAGTTACAGGTCAGCTGGTTAAAACTGGGTATTATTTCAAGTGTGTCCTCCAGAGTAAAGCTGAAAAGAAGGAATGAGTTAGCCCTTTTGTACCTCAAACCCGGTACAAGTGATGGCTCCCTGTGGGGATGAAGACACTCCAGGTAGATGAAGCTGTTCCATTAGTTTATTACAGGACAAATTGAAATGTCAGGCTGCTAAGGTGCAGTACAGGAAGAAGACATTTCTCATATTCAGTGTGAAGAGAAGCAGCCATTCCTTGGGTTTCTGCTCGTTGTTAAAGCTATTTCCAAACCTGATGCTGTTGCATAGCGTCTTATATTTAATCAGAAACCTTATTTTACTGCTTGCTCTTTTACTGTTTGAGGTTCACACTTGGCTTGTTTTTCAGAGCACAGGAAGAAAAGCGTTAAATAACACCGACTCTGAATCAATCTATCTCCTACGATGCAATCGCAGCATTCTTGCAGTCATTACAATATGTTTTGGTGGAGAGCTTCACTTTTTGAATATGGCTTTAACATTTCTTTTTCTGCTTGCAGAAGTTCGTACTTAATAAAGTAGTCAAGGGGGCTAACGTAGCCATGCTAGCTGCATCTCTCTGCAGTGCCTTTGTTGTGCTGGTGATGGCTTACTTGGGATGCCGGAGTCTTCCACGTTGCTCGTGCTACGATAGCGTAACTGGGATGGTGAGTGAGGAGCCCAGGGCACCCATTTATTTGTACCGAGTGTGGGTAGGAGGGGGAGAAACTGGGGAGAAGATGTGTTTTTCTTCTGTAAACCTAACCTCAGCTCTACCTCAGTCATCCAGGGCTAATTCTAAGAAATTAAGTGGATGTTAGAAGGGTTTTATACTTTTTGTATTTTTCCTTTTACTACCTCCCTCTTATTTACAGTCTTGTCCAAGACATAGCATAAGTTATCTCTATTTTCCAAACCATTAGTGGTCCAGCTACTGTTGTCCTATTTCCTACAAATTCCTGCTCTCCTTAACAACTGCTCCTTCTTCTCTCACTCTTAAACCAACGATTGCTCCTGGTACAGCGTTTCAGAGACTTACTGGTGCTTACACACCAGGATGCCTTATCCCTAGAACTACAAATTCAATAATAAAAATACCGCCTGTACCAAGTGTGAAGTGCATGGGAGACGACGCACCACATTTTACTGCTAATTTATGAAGACTCTGCCTCAAGTGGTGGGGCACACGCCACGTGTCTCTGCTAAGTGAGCTCGGTAAATATCAGCTACTTCTCTACTAAAGTAATTCTGATGCTGTATTAAATGTGTGCATCTGACCATCTCATTTGGTAAGGAATTAATGGGTACAGGTTACAAGGCAGCTGTTCTTGACTAAAGGTACTGAGTGCGTAATGTGAGGCTGCTTTAAACTTTCAAACTAAAATTTGTTAGGAGGAGTGGACTACACAGACTTTTAAAATGAGTTCAGGTATATCTTCTTGAACAAACTCACAGATGAGGTTTTTGATGGCGTTGTTTCATTCATAGGAATGGTTGCAACCTAGTGAGGACCAAAATCAGGCTGTGGAGATGGTTTGCGCCGTACAAAGTGAGTAACTCTTTCC